GCACCAGGAGCAGCACTGTGTTGGCATCCCCAGCGCTGCTGGGAGGGCAAGGGCTCCTTCACGGCGTGTCTCCAGAATGGGTGGTCGCATGTAGGCAGGGTCGGACTCCAGCTCGCTCGCCGCAGCTCAGACCCCAAGGCTCAGCCCCGCGTGTCTTGGCCAGACTCTTCCCAGTGGTGCCCAGCGACAGGACAAGGGGCAACGGGCACAAACTGGCGCAGAGGAAACTCCCTTTTAAGAACTTCTTCCCTCTGAGGGTGCCGGAGCCCTGGCCCAGGCTGCCCAGGGAGGCTGTGGAGTCTCCTTCTCTGGAGATATTCCAGCCCAGCCTGGCCGCGGTGCTGTGCAGCCTGCTCTGGGTGACCCTGCTTGGGCAGGGGGTTGGGCTGGGTGACCCACAGGGGGCCCTTCCAGCCCCGACCACTCTGTGATTCTGTGATTCTGTGTCTGCCTGCCGAGGAGCCACACGTGTGGATGGAGCCAGGCCCATGGCCGTCATGCCGCAGCACGCAGCGACGGGGAGCGCGCCTTATCCCCAGAAACACGGCCAACTTCCCAACTCCACCTCGCCTCGCAAACCCGGGGTGAGTCCGGGCTCCCAGGATGCAAAACTGAGGGGAGCGAGAGGGGGAGGAAGGCGTTTGTCAGCGCGAGGGAGCAGGGTCGGGCCCTGGGCGAGGCTCTCCCAGCGCTGCATGTATTAGCATGGGTAATGAGACTTAATTACCTAACCTTGAGATGCTCCTGACAGATCCCCTCTGCAGATGCCTGCCAGGGGGAGGGGACACTCCCAGCAGCCCAGAGCCCGAGGAGAGGAGCCTTTCAGCTGCCCCTGAGGGCAGAGAAGGAGACTCCACAACCTCCCTGGGCGCTGTATGCAGCTAGAAACCCTCCCCGCCTGCCTGCTGGCAGCTGCGCAGGAAGGCTTCGGGGATGTTTATGGGGTTTTTTTCTCTCTCATTTTCTCCGGTGGCTGCTGGGCCTGTTGTTGAGATAAATCAGCCTGCAGACCGCGGTCCCTGCTGTGGATGTTTAACTGCTGTTTCGGTCCCCTCTCCCTGGTGCCGTGGCCAGCTCTGCTCCATTGCCCAGCCAGGACAGAGAGTCCCCAGGGACCGAGCCCAAGCAGGGCTGGCCAGGCGTCAGAGGGGGGGCCTCTGGCCAGCGGACCCTGCCCTCAGGGGCAGCTGAATCACAGAATCACAGAACACCTTGTCCAGGTGGGTCCTGAATATCTCCAGAGAAGGAGACTCCACAACCTCCCTGGGCAGCCTGGGCCAGGGCTCCGTCACCCTCAGAGGGAAGAAGTTCTTCCTCGGGTTCAGCTGGAGCTTCCTCTGCTCCAGTTTGTGCCCGTTGCCCCTTGTCCTGTCGCTGGGCAC